GTCAAGCGCCTCAACAACGGCGAGAACGCCAACACCGTCGCTTCGCAGGAGCTGCCCAAGTGGAGAATGGCTGGCGGTAGGGTCATGCAGGGGCTTGTCAACCGCCGCGCTGCAGAGGTCAAGCTCTTCAAGACCGCCTCCTCCAAGCAGGCATACCCAAAGTGCTCGTAAACATTTACCTTAGCTTGTACAAACATTTTAAACCGATTCCCTTGTGAATAAAACAAACCTCATATTTAGAATCCCTATCAAAAGCAAACTGCTCCTGAAAGCTTCTGTCCGTATCTACGATTTTGGCGTATTATTTTACCGTCCAGCAAATTCACAGATATTAACGAAAAATAATCTCTACTCGTTGTGTTGCTGCAGATAATCTATCTTGACCCGCTGGTCGCTGTAGTGTTTGTGCCAGTGGTTCTTTGGCTCGTCCAGACTGCAAAACATGTTTGTGTTGGTTGAATTAAGTAGCATTCCAAAGGTGATGTCCTCGCTAGAATAGAGCTTTGCAGGGGTTGGAAGCTTTCGACAGATGGCGTCAAAGATGGCTCGCTTGAATATGTAAATCTGTCCGACCGGCCAGTAGAAAGGATAGTCGACGGCAATCCCTCCTGCGACTTGGCAGTCAGTAGTGGCCATTTTACGAATGACCTCTTCGAGCTTGGACTCGGACATGATCAAGTCGTCGTCTATTTTGACATAAAAGTCGGTTCTCTTCATCGACTTGCACATTGTTTCAAGCGAATCAACAAGCTTTGAAGACAGCGTTTCCCACTTGTAAGACCTTGCCAGATGGATATCGCACCCTTCTGCTTTGGTATCGTTGTCGCAGAATTTTATAGCGCGCTTCTGAAGCGTAAAAAGGTCGAACAGCGGGCTGCTAAAGTCGCCACGGAACATGAATATGGTTGTCGTGATATGCTCAGGAACCGCGTGGGCCGAGTTTAGCGAACTGAGCTCTGCTGCATATGGCAGTGGCGGCTTGGGTGCCACAGTGTTAGTGCTATCCGGAAAATCTAATGTATCGCTCTGTCTGTCGCCGGTGGAGAGCACATAGTAGTAAGTGGACGCCAATGTTATAGCGCTTGTCAGTGCAACCAGTGCCAACAGGAATTTGGGCTTTGCACATGTCGCAGCAAACACAGACACCATCATAGTGCCTGAAAACAACAAATTATTTGGAAAATAAATTAAAGGATAAAGTATCGAAACTAAGTAAACCGGGAAATGCGTGTGTCTAGCAGCTTTGTCTATATCTCTACGCTGACCATTTGAGGCGGAAAACATACAGATATTTTTCCTACAACGAGCTTCCTTTCGGAAATGCGACGATATTTTTATATTTAAAGCACACAGTATATATGTCGCAACGAAAACCGTAAAGCAAGAGCACAATGCAATTGCATTTGTGCAACTTGATCTATAAATAATCCATTCAGGTCGTACAAATGCGAAGGCAAGAGATTCCATGTTTGAGCACTCGTAAAGCAATCTGCTCTCTGGTTTGGTGACAGGCTAATATCTCGCTTTGCCGCATGGAATCGACAAACATGGAAAAAGGAACAGTGTTCTCTACAATAGCCATCCATGTTTAGAAACAACGTTTTGTTGGCATTGCTCACTTCTTTATGAAGGAAGTAACAGATATGTTCACTCTGGAACTGCGGCTACACTCAAGTGTAACTGAAGCCAGAAGTAGCAATGCACAGAATGTGGTGTGCTCAGCGCTAGGAAACAGATAGCAAGCCTAGTGTGATTAGAAAAGAGTATGGATGGTGGTTTATTCTGGCGCTGTCTGCAGGACTACGGCGTTTATTTGTAGGAAGCAACGACAACGAGCTGTGCCACTGAAACATGCTGTTTGGGCAGCTCTACATCAGCAGAGCCTGTTTTCAGCAAAGTAGCACGCGTCAAGTATTCTGATCCCTTTTCATGGCTATATTGGTCCGTGGATCTCCTTAAAGGACAAAAGGGAAAAGAAGCAGATATACAAGCGACAGCGGCGGCAACAGCGGCGGCGGCGAGTATAGTGTTTTTTAGCAGCACGACATGGCTAGGTTAGTCAAGAGGAATGTCAACAAGGAAGATTTCCAGATCATCCAGATCCGCAGTGGTCCAGTGGCTAGGATTCGACGCTCTCACCGTCGCGGCCGGGGTTCGATTCCCCGCTGCGGAACTTCTTTTTGCAATCTGTTCTGGTTCAGGCAACGAGAATAAATGAGGCACGCATATATGAATGTGCTTACCATTTATTTTTCTTTTCTTTTTGCTGTGCAGTGGGTGTGGGGAAGGTCGACGAGACAATGTGAACAGCCCTAAGGGCTTGCAGCAAAAAGAAATGGGCAGAGAGAGGCTGAAGGTCGAAAAAAAGTGTCCGAAAACCCGGATTTGAACCAGGGACCTAGAGATTACAACGAAAACCGCGAGGTTTTATTCCACTACAGTCTCCCGCTCTACCGCTGAGCTATTTTCGGATTCTTCTTGGGTCTACTTAGCAACACTGAAGAAACGACGTGCTCCTCTACTGCTTTTAGCAACACTGAAGAAACGACGAAGAGTTGCATGTTGGATCGATTCGTCGGTCCGACGTGTAGCGTTGGAGCGTGGTGCTTTCCAGCACAGGTCCCGGG